AAAAAAAAAAAAAAAAAAAAAAGGAGAGACATTGCTGCTGGTACGTCTGCAGAGAGAGTGGATTGGAAAAGTGATATAATATTAATAATAATTAAATAATTAGCATTAATAACAGATGTATGTTATCAATTTTTATGACACAATTGAAATTTGAAACGTTTCCGCCTTGATGGCGCTCTTGTTGATTTCAGTGCCTCCATGTAAAGTACACCTCTCTTCTCTCTTCTCTCTCTCCGTCTGGCGGCGATGTAGCCATCGGAGGCGTCCCTTGTTGACTTGATGTGGTTTGTCTTTTGTCTCTCCCTCGTGCACTTCCCCCCCGCCCCCACCCTCCTCTGCCCCTTTCACCCCGTACTGTCTATCATTTCAAAGCAATCCTATTTGTTGGGGCTACCGTCTCCACCCGAATAGAACGCTCGGTCGCTATTGCTGCATCTAGTCCGCAAGTTGCCCCAAATACAGCTGCAATGACCGGGCGTTCTATTCGGGTGAAGACGGTAGCATTCAGGCATGTATCAAAACTCAAGGAGGGGCCTGAATCGGCAGTTTCTGTAGCAAATGAAGTATGATCACTTCGCTGGTTTTCTCTTCAAGAGGGAGTTGGTTGTTTCTCTCAGCTGTATGCGCTTTTTTCTTTTTTCCCTTTCCTTGCGCAGGGGCCATGCTACTCGTCTCTGTATCGTTCCATTTTTTTATTTTTTTATTTTGTTAATCGTTCCAATTTTAACAGATACCTAGGGTACCAGAGTGGCCCGGGACCACTTGCCCGGCCGGGTCAAAAAAAAAAACATTTTTTAAATTTATTTTTTATTTTAAATTTCGTGAAAATTTTCGATGTAACCCTGAGGCAAAAGTTGTTCAGTTTATTTTTCTGCATAACATCGTTTTTTTTCGGAGTTTTGAAGTTTTCAGATTTTTTCTTTTTTTTTTCTTTGGGCTGGGACCTTCTCTGGTCCTTGCACGGCCGGCACGCCCGGGAAAATAAGGTGATCCGGGCGACCCGACTGGTAGACTGGACGGATACACTTTCCTTTTTTTTTTCCCCCTTCTGGCCAGTGTTGAATACCCCGACGGTCGGCGGCCTTTGACTGGTCAGCACCTACAGGTGGGGGGTCGTCTGCACCTCGCAAAAAACAAACAAACACTTTTGTTTCTTTTTTGGTTCCAGAACCCCTAATAACCCCACCAGCACCCCCATAGCAGCCCCCAATAACCCCCCATACACCCCTCAAACACCCCCNAGAGAGAGAGAGAGAGAGAGAGAGAGAGAGAGAGAGAGAGAGAGAGAGAGAGAGAGAGAGAGAGAGAGAGAGAGAGATGTGAAGCACGCCAGTTTTTACAGCCTGGATCATGGTTTCTAGACTTGACCATTGCAGCAATCTGGCATAACCTTTAGCCTCAACTGTACACCCCTAATTCAACCGTCAACATGCTTACCCTGAAGCTGTGTGTGTGTGTGTGTGTGCTATCTCTGTGTTGCTGGATTTGCTCCATAATTTAGGAGCAAATGATGTTTCAATGATTCAGATGGCAGATGTTGGAGTCGGCATCAGCGGGCAGGAAGGCCGTCAGGCGGTTATGGCTAGCGACTTTTCGATTGCGCGTTTCAAGTACTTAGGAAGATTGCTGCTCGTGCATGGCCATTGGAATTATCATCGAATTGCGTATATGATCCTTTATAACTTCTACCGCAATGCCTTCTTTGTATTCCTCCTCTTCTGGTAGGTGTTCGTGTTCGTGTTCTTGTCAATATGCGTAAACGACTATTTTTTCTCATTTTTCGTTATTCTTTTTTAACTCCTTTTTTTTTCTCTTTTTTCCTTTTTCTTTTTTCATCAGAGTGTGCATAAACCACGCTAAATGAGACTTATCACTTTTATAAAAGAAAATCGATATAATGTACTTACTGTGCAGTATATACAACACACTTGCAAAAGCACGCTTTGCTGGGAATTGCAAATGGTTGGTGCGTGAGCGGCGCACCGAATCTGTGCTGCGCATGGGGGAAATGGGCATCGAGAAAAAAAGGGGTCCCAGGCCTGGATTGGTGGTCTCCTTGGCCCATGAGGACACATAAAAAAAGGGGTCCCAGGCCTGGATCTATGGTCACCAGCGCCTGCTTTGAAAATTTGTTGTGGATGAAAGAAAAAAAAAAGGGTGGGGAGGGGGGGAATGTTGGGAGAGTAATATCGCCACCTGATGGCCAAGACGGATGTCCCTAAGAGACCTCTTTGGGACTATTTCTCATGCCCAATGGGACAGAAAGAAAAATTAGTATTGCTGAACTTGAACAGTATCTGTTTCGTAGGTAGTACACTCTTTTGCGTCTACAAAAAAAAAAAAAAAAAAAAAA